CAATCACCGGATTACTCGAAGTTAATGAAGTTGGGATTTCAAAAAGGAGTGCAGAGTTTACCTGATAGGATCGAAATAGGGGAGAGAGTGTCGAGCAGCACGTTGTTCTGCCTGAATTGACTCAAAGAGTTCGTTACAGAAAAAAACTGAATATGAACTCAATACATGCCTTTTTTCTGCCGGATCACATCCACAAGAGAGAAGAAATATGAACTCCATACGTCGAAAATCTTCTACCTTGTGGATATGGACCCGCAAAAAAATGTGTGTGTTTTTTGTGGGTTACACCTGTAGATAATTCCTCGGGTGGAGCTATTTATAAAAGAAAAAAAAACTGAAGTTTTTCTTTTTGTCGATGTGGGACTGCTGTCAATCTAAGACTGACTCAACTTCAAGAGCTCTCCCTTGGCCCTAAAGGAAAAATACACAAAAACAATTTGTTCAGCCTTTCCCCACCAAGCCCAACCCATTCGACATCATACGTGACATTCTTTCAAGGCTACCAGTGAAGTCACTATGTCGTTTCAGGTGTGTATCAAATTCATGGCTTTCCTTAATCACTGACCCTGATTTTGTCAAGAGGCACCTTAACGAAGCTATTGAGAGCGAGGATATTTTCAACCAAAGACGAAGGCTTATATTTACTGATGAGTCACATAGGTCACTTTTCTCTTTGGACCTCGATGAATTTTGTTGATGCTCTTTTTGGGAGGTCAACTTAGATATAGGTGGAATAATGGATGATGGGTGAAGGTGAGGACCTTCAGCATGTGTGTGAAGATTTGGGCAAGCGATGGGCAAACGATAAATATGAAGAAGACAGGATATACGTGGTTCACCCTTAATGAATGGGCTACGTCCATGGAGAAGTATTCTCATTATAATAATGTAGGATTACATTTGTACATGGGGTTGGGCCCAAATATAAAGATAACAAGTGAGATGGTCCTGGCTCAGTCCTGGGTCCAAAAGATAGAGTCCAAGGCCTAAGGGTCTAGATCCAAGACCCCTTTCCAAGTGGAGAATGGTTTCTTTTATAGGTAATGGGGAGTCTTCACTTCTTGTAGTTTTTCGATGTGGGACTCCTCTTGCTTTGCTTAGAGTTGTGACTTGTGGTAATGCTTCTTTGGCTAAGGTGATGACCTCTCAAAGCATGGCACGTGGCTGATCTAGCCAAGTTAGTTGCTCAGTCAGTTACGGTACGTGGTGATGACCTCTCAATCGTAATGATGCAGTTGATAATTATCTTGATAAAGATTATGATAACCTTATCATTAACATTGACGATAACGATGATGTCGTAGCCACTGAGCTCAACTATGTTTTTAGTGAACTGCCAAATAATTGGGCTTTCTTGGTGTTTCACTCCAATGGCTTGTTGTTGTGCCAGTTATATTACTGGGATTTATATATGGTTAACCTTGCAATAAGAGAATCCAAGAAACTACCACAAATACTAGATGTCGGAGTAGCATATTATTTCGACCTCTTTGGTTTTGTATTTGATCACTCCTCTGGTGATTACAAGATCGTTATGTTGTCATATTTGGAAGGTGGAATTATGTTCGGTGTCTACACATTGAAAACTGGCTCTTGGCGAATGATTGAAACGCAATAACCCTACAAATGTGACCTCATGCGGCATGGGATCCTTATGAATAGAGGCCTTCATTGGTTGTTGGATAGAGTTGGAGTTTAACATCGATCCTCAGTGATTATATCTTTTGATTTAGCAGAGGAGAATGTCCGAGAACTTCCACTACCTCTTGCTTCTATTGATGCTAAAGATTATATTGTTGGGGCATTTAGAGATTTCTTATGTGTAACACATTATGCTGATGGAGTAATGCACAATGAGTATTGGATCATGAAAGAATATGGTGTGAGGGAGTCTTGGACTAAAGTAAGGATCTCCATCCCATATTCTGTATTACAACACTCTGGTTTCTGGAAGAAAAGTCATGATCTCTTGGTGTTCAGAGACCGATTGGTTTTGTGCAATTCTAAAGGTGAAAGATTTCGGAATCTTTCAATCACCGGATTACCCGAAGTTAATGAAGTTGGGATTTACTTGGAGAGCCTTGTTTCACCTAATAATTAGATAGATAGGATATAGAGGACGTTTTTTTGGTTGGAATCAAATTTTATTAGATAGAAGGCAAAAGCCGGTTACAACAAAGTGAGCTCCACAAAGGAATTTCAACAAACTGCAACACAAGAAAACATAAAACCTACTACACCATAAAACTTGAAGATGACATAAAGCCCAGAAAAGCGAAGTGCACACAAAAAGCAATGAAAATAGAACATGGAAATGCCACACCATCCATAACCAAACAGCAACATAATCAACGTAAGCCCACACCCACTAGAGAGGAACCAGTAACCAATGCTCAAGACAGAAAATGGTGGTGGACAAGCCACCAAAGCTACAAAGAGCGCTACCATAATCCAAGCAATAAGTGACATAAGCACTTTAAAAGCAACCCCAATTGCATAAAAGTCACCAAGGAGAGGAGACCCTCGTGTGTTTGAGGCGCTGAAAATGGTGGTGAAGGAAAGGTGCCGAGAAATAGCCGCTAGTTGTAGGAGGAGAAAATGCATATCAAGCACTAAAGGCTCTTACAAGTAAAAACTAGAAGAGATATTAATCAACACCACAAACAGGTTGAAAGCAAAAGCAGCGCAAAAGGCTGAAAAGAATCGCACAGCACACTTGGTCACCCCATTTGCCACCAAATCACAGATAGAGGTGAATCACATATCTGAAGTAGTTTTCCAGCATGAATCAAATCTCAAATTTGCAAAAGAAACAAACATAGCAAAAAAGCCACCAGCAACACAAACTGGAACAATAAACCAATTGCGGCGGCCACAGGGGAAACCACCTAAGCCACCAAAACACAGAGGCAATCCCCGGACAAAGTAGATCCAGAATAGGAGCAGAACAACGAGGATTGCCTTTTCGGTATGAGCCACACTAATCACATCAATTTGCTAAAATGCAAACGTATGAATTAAAGAGTTAATTAATGCACATGGAACTAAGACTAAGCAGAATTCAGATAATAGATGAAGGGCAGACAATCTTAGGATAGTAAGCATGAGAGAGGAGGTAATAAGCAGGGCTTCCTGTGTAGATGTACACATGAGTAATGAAAATCAAGCAATTCATAGAAAATACCATTGGTTAATGCAAACATTAATAATTGAAATTATTAATTACATGAGGATAATATGGCAAATTCACACTTTTTCATATTTAAATTAAATTAAATTAAAAGAAAAATAAGATAATTGATACTATTTTTATGGAACACAACTACCCTTTTTTTTAATTCTAAAATAAATTTTAATTTAAAAAAAAAGGCCTCTCGCATGCGCGGAAGCTCATGCAAAGAGGCTAGTATATATATTAAACTAGATCATGTACTTATATATTTATTTTATTTTACAAGTCTAATAACTAGATAAGGATGTTAAATTTGAAGTTTGATGAGAATTTTAAATTATTGATCTTTGAATTGTAACAATATTAGTTGTTGAACCAAACCGTCCAAATTTGGTTTAAATTGGTTTGGTTTCTTTGGGTTTTTTTGTCAAAAATAACTGAATCAAACCGTTCTATACGGCCAAAAGCTTGCGATTTAATAGTCCTTTTCATTAATTTTTTTTAATTTTGGGCTGGGCCTGTATCATAGCATGTCTTGTGTACAGAACCTCCTAACCCAACCCAAATTTTTTCAAAAACAAAACATACATATGTTATAAGCTCAGCCCAAAATTATAAAAAATAAATAAATAAAAAATAAAAGCAAGCCCTACACGCATGTTGCCCATTTAGGTGGTTCCATATCTTCTCTTTTTCTCTTTTGGCTATGCGACATCATATTGCTTGTCTCTCTCTTTGCCCTGACTTTTGAATCTTGGAACCGCCACTGTCAAAGAGAGAGAGAGAGAGGGTCACTGTTAATGAAAAGAAATCCTAGACCAAATAAAGATTTCTAAATTAGAAATTAAATGAGGAGATATTTATTTGTTGTTTGGAGTGTAGCAAGAAGGTGCAACTTAACTCAGCAAGAACGAATTTCACTTATACGAAAGTGCAGTAATCGTCTACTCTTTAGTTTTGAGTATCTAAAAAGTAAATTGAATACTCTTTTGGGATAAACCAAATTTGGCCTCCAGGCATAGAAAGAACTGACAGAAAGATATTATATGACTCATATGGGACTAAGCATTCCCACTATATTGGCTAGAGATTTTTATTATAAGCACATCCATGCTCTAACCTATGTATACTTGGTAACTTATAAGCACAACTGTTCTATTTTCAGTTCTGAAGATGAACTTCATCAATAACATGGCCCAATATTTAACATGACCTCTATGCAGGTCCAGTCAACGTGGGGCAAAGGAAAATCCGAAAATACAATTTTCTTTTATGTTTAGTCCTTAAAGGGTTATTAGGGTTTGGACTTTGGGGTATAAAGATTTAAGCACAGTTTTCTTTTTGCCAAAGATGCGTATGGCAAAGGAACTTGAAGCGGATCCACCGTGGGATCAATGGGGTCACTTGACCTTATGTAAGCCAGAAAATGGCTGGGAGGTCCCTGAAACGACCCCTTGGAAGTGGATTCACTTCTCCTCGGGATGCTTTGTTTATTTTTTTCAATGCTCGGGAAAAATGACGCAATTTCGGCCCAGGCACACTGAATTTTTTTTAATCAACCTGGCCCAAGCCTAGCCCAACATTCCCCTCAAAAACCACAAAATTTCTTGTTCTCTCAACCTCACTACCTCAAACCCTAACACCAACCTCCCCAACCCTCAACCCCCACCTGCTTCCATGTTCCACCACCTGCTAATGGGGTAACCCTAACTTTCCATCCGACATCATACCTGAGATACTTTCCAGGCTACCAGTGAAGTCATTATGCCGCTTTAGGTGTGTATCAAAGTCATGGCGTTCTTTAATCGCCGACCCCGATTTCGTCAAGATGCACCTTAACAAAGCTATTGAGAATGATGATATTTTCAACCAAAGACAAAGGCTTATATTTACTGACCTCTCAACCAGGTTACTTTGCTCTATAAACCTCGATGAATTTCTCAGTAATAATAATGATTTTCTCAATAATAATAATGATGCAGTAGTTGATAATTATCTTGGTAAAGATAATGATAACCATATTGATAACATTCATGTTGATGATGATGTACTAGTGCCCACTGATCTCCACCATATTTGTAAACTGCCAAATTATTGGGTTTTCTTGTTGTTTCACTCCAATGGCTTATTGTTGTGCTTGTTACATAGCGGCAGTTTCTATCTGGTTAACCCTGCAACTAGAGAATCCAAGAAACTTGCAGAGATGCCAGATTACAGAAAAGGGCATTATTCCAGTTGCGTTGGTTTTGGTTTTGATCACTCCTCTAGTGATTACAAGGTCGTTATGTTATGTTTGGGAGGTGGAATTATGTTCAATGTCTACACGTTGAAAACTGGCTCTTGGCGAATGATTCAAAGGTGATATCCCTACCAAGTTGAGCGCACGCAGAAAGGGATACTTCTGAATGAAGCCCTTCATTGGTTGTTGATGGATAGAGTTGGAGTTGAACATCGGTCGGTGATTATATCTTTCAATTTAGCAGAGGAGAATGTCCGAGAAATTCCACTACCTCTTGCTTCTATTGATAGGAGAGATTATATTGTTGGGGCCTTCAGAGATTGCTTATGTTTAACACATGGTGGTGCTGATGGAGGAATGCACAATGAGTTTTGGATCATGAAAGAATATGGCGTGAGGGAGTCTTGGACTAAAATAAGGAGCCCCATCCCATATTCTGTATTGCAACACTCTGGTTTCTGGAAGAAAAGTCATGATCTCTTGGTGTTCAGGGACTGATTGCTTTTGTGCAATTCTAGTGGTCCAAGATTTCGGAATCTTTCAATCTCCAGATTACCTGAAGTTAAAGAAGTTAGGATTTACTTGGAAAGCCTTGTTTCCCTTAATACTAATGTTGACTGAGGACAATGTTTAAGTACGTAGGATACAGAGGAAGCGGTTAAGAAGATGAACTCACTTCATCTGTGTTGAAGGAAAATGTGAACCTCCCAACATAATTTCACCACAACTAATTAAATAATGGGGTTTTATTATTTAAGGTTCGACCCATTCGAGACGCAAGTCTCTTAATTACAATCCCTTGCTTCAAGGGAACACCCTTTGATTCCATCATAAAGAAACAAAACGTGTGTGTTTGATTTTGCAGCTGCTCCCAAGTCCAACCTCAGGATGCCTACGTATCCCTTACGAGAATCAAGCCACTCGTAGTTCAAAGATTCGCAATGAATAGATGACTCATTGCAAATGGAGGAATTTAAATGAATTTGATTGAGGAGTGTTTGAGTGAATTTAGCTGAAATTGTGTTTGGGATGGTTGCATCTAGATTCACTCTCTAGATTTCCTACGTACCCTTTTAAAAGGATCAAACCAACGTAGTTCGGAATTGATTTGTGTGGAGATTTGATTGGTGAGAATTTGGTTGCGGTTGCGTCTATTGGGATGCAAGACTGCCTACGTACCCTTGATAGGATCAAACCGGCGTAGTTCCAAAATTTAGAAATTAATGGGTAAGTGTAGCCCAATAATTTAGAATTGGTGTCTTTGAGACGATTTGAAGATTTTCATAGGTAGATGACCTATGGGAAAAATTAGAAATTAATGGGTAAGTGTGGCCCAATAATTTAGAATTTGCGTTTTTGAGACAATTTGGGGATTTTCATAGGTAGATGACCTATGAGAAAAATTGGAAATTAATGGGTAAGTGTGGCCCACTAATTGAGAATTTGTGTTTGAGATATTTGAATTTAATCTCATTGGAATTTTCATGGGTAGATGACCCATGAGAAAAATTGGAAATTAATGGGTGAGTGTAGCCCACTAATTGTGTTTGAGAGATTTGAAATTAATCTCAATGAAATTTGCATGGGTAGATGACCCATGGGAAAAATTGAATGGTTTTATACCATTCTTCTTTTTGTCAATGTCCAAGAAAAATAATGTGCAATTTTGACAAGACCACAAATTTTCTACAATTGACATTTGGGAAAGTGTTTGAATGAATTTGGTTAGGATAAACCAGGGATTCAAATTGGGTTGCAGTTGTGTCTATCAGGATGTTAGACTGCCTACGTACCCTTGACGGGATCAAACCGACTTAGTTCCAAATTGATTTGTGTGAAGTTGGATATTTGATTTGTGGGAATTTGGTTGATGTAACTAGTGATTCAAATTTGGTTTTGGTTGCGGTTGCGCCTATTGAGATGCTAGACTGCCTACGTACCCTTAATGGGATCAAACTGACGTAGTTCCAAATTGATTTGATTAATGGGTAAGTGTGGCCCAATAATTTAGAGTTTGTGTCTTTGAGACAATTTGGAAATTTTCATTGGTAAATGACCTATTGGAAAAATTGGAAACTAATGGGTGAGTGTGGCCCACTAATTGAGAATTTCTATTTGAGAGATTTAAATTTAATCTCAATGAAATTTGCATAGGTAGATGACCCATGGGAAAAATTATGAATTAATGGGTAAGGGTGGCCCACTAATTTGTGTTTGAGAGATTTGAATTTAATCTCATTGGAATTTTCATGGGTAGATGACCCATGAGAAAAATTGAGAATTAATGGGTGAGTGTGGCCCACTAATTGAGAATTTGTGTTTGAGATATTTGAATTTAATCTCATTGGGATTTTCATGAGTAAATGACTCATGAGAAAAATTGGAAATTAATGAGTGAGTGTAGCCCAGTAATTAAGAATTTGTGTTTGAGAGATTTGAAATTAATCTCAATGAAATTTGCATAGGTAGATGACCCATGGGGAAAAAATTGGATGGTTTTATACTATTCTTCTTTTTGTCAATGTCCAAGAAAAATAATGAGTAATTTTGATGAACCCACTAATGTTCTACAATTGGCATTTGCATTTGGGAAAGTGTTTGGGCGAATGTGGTTAGAATAAACCAGGGATTCAAATTTGGTTGCGGTGGCGTCTAGTGGGATGCTAGACTGCCTACGTACCCTTTAAATTTGAATTTTCATGGATAGATGACCGATGGGAAAAATTAAAAATTGATGGGTAAGTGTGGCCTATTACTTGAGAATTTCTATTTGAGATGTTTGAATTTAATCTCATTGGAATTTTCATGGGTAAATGACCCATGAGAAAAAATTAGATGGTGTTGTACCATTTTTTTCTTTTTGTTAATGTCCAAGAAAAATAATGAGCAATTTTGATTAACCTACTAATTTTCTAAAATTGACATTTGTACTTGGCCCAAATATGGTTATGACGATTTTTTTTTATAACATTAATCCATTAACCATATAAAAGGAAATTTGAGTCTATAAATTTAATGGGTAATTATTTGGATTACCCATTAAATTACTATGGGCTTTTGAAAATCAATGGACAATTATCTTTGACAGTCCATTATTTTATTTCGGGCCTTCGATATTTTGACTGGCCCAGTTTTTGGACATATGTGAAGAAGAGAGAAAAGAAGGAAAGAAGACTGAGAGTTGTTATAAATCCAAAACACAAACAAAGTGGCTGACGCCTTTTTTTTTTTTTTTTTTTTTTTTTTTGTCTTTTTTTTCTTTGAATTTCTTCTCCCTTTTGAAACCAAGTGGCTGACGTCACTTTCCCATTTTTTCTTACTCTTCTTCCCTTTTCTCTTTCGACAGGAGTCTTCCTTCTTCTTTGTTATTTGCTGCTACTATCTGCAGCATCAGGCCGAGCGACAGCCAACATGGTTGTCTTCCTTTTCAAGCACAGCTTATTTTTATTTGCTGTGAGATTAAACCCCCAATGATTTTGTTTGTGGGTTTTGTACCCAAATTGGATTTGTGCTCTTGAGAACTCACTGAATGAGTTTTATGCCCAAAAATGGATATATCATTCAGGGTATTTGATTGAGGGTTACACACCCATGGTGGATTTTGTATCCAAGATTTTTTTGGGGTGTAAAAACCCAAAGCCTTGATTGAGGGTGAAACGCCCAGGCTTTATTTCAAGGGTGCAAACCCATATTTGTTTTCAGGGTGAAATACCCAAGTTTTGTTTCCGGGTGCAAACCCAATGCTTTGATTTCAGGGTTTATTACCCAAAGACGGATTGAACATCCAAGAAATTTTAGGGTTGCCACCCTACATGGATTGCCATCCATTTGATTGATTAAAGGGTTGCCACCCAAAAACGGAGGACCTCAAGAGAGGAGCCTTGATTGCCTCTGTCATATTTCTTCAGCACTGCCGTGCATCCTCCATGTTCCCCAAGCCTTGCTGGCTTTATCTTTGTCTTTGGTATCTCTTCACAGTCTGCCGCTGTGCTTTTTTCTCCAGCCTCATGGCTGCCTCCCCATTCTATTTTTTTCTTTTATCTGATTATCTGATATACACGTTGTTTCCAATTTGTTTTGAAAGCAAGTGTCATGTGGTTGTGGGAATCACGCACCCAACGTTGTGGGGCTTATCTAAACCCACCTTTTTCTTTTTTCTTTTTTTTTTTGGGGATTCAACAATCTGTATCTATGGCTCCAAAACATGGAATTGTCATTTATCTCTGCTATTTTCTTCGTATTCAATTTCCTTGGGGATGATTTTAATGTTTGTTACTTTTATTTTAGTGTGATTTTGCATTCTTGCATAAAAAGGGGTTAACGCCTCATTAAGTGGCTTGGTTTGGACTGGGTTGGAGTTAAGTCTAAGTTAGTCCTTGTGAGTCTCACTCCTCTATATGGAACTTGTAATTGTTGCTCATTTTAATTGAAATAGTCATAGTCTAGTCCCACCCACCAAATGTAGCCGTAACACACCATGGCCTGGCATTTATAAGTTTACCAAACAACCAAGACATTAAGCAAGACACTTGTCCAATTTAATTGAAATAGTGCATAACAGGAATGGTAGATAAATCAAGCAAGCAAGGTAAGCTGTCAATTAAGATTACACCAAAATGCTACGGCCCAAAGCCTGGTGACATGCTCTTAAACTGCAAAGCACTGCATTATGTCAAATGCCTAGTAATTTATTTGCGAAGTTAACAAAGAATACACAGTATATTCAATATAACAATCGGGGTTTACACAGATAAGCACCCTGGCCATAGACGAGTGTCATCACCAGTTACATTGTTAAGAACAGAAAAGAATGAACTACATAATACAAACCAAAACTTTCCGGAGTAAAAGGTTGCTACTCTTTCTAATAAATTTCTACAAGACTTAGCTTCAGTTCTTACATATCTTTAGGATGAAGGTTATGACTTGTTTTAGAGCACCAATAATTAGTTGATGTTTTTTTTTTTTTTTTTTTTTTTTTTTTTTTTTTTTCTAAGGAGCCGAAGCTCATAAACAAACTTCTGGGTCTAACAACCCCACTCAAATCTTATAGTAACTACAAATACATCAAAAATAGAGTGCTGCGAAACGAACTTTATAATTAACTGAGTACATCCTATGATCTAAGTACACCCTAATATTTTAATCAAAATGTAAAATTAACTAAGTACACCCTATTTAACTACCAAAAATATCCTTGGTACACCCTAATACAATCTAACACACAACACCCTAATACCAATTCTAAAACAGATTTCTCTTTTTTCATGAATTTGTGCCCTCTTTTCAGATTTTGAGTTTGCATCAAAATCTTTCGTAAGTTGCTGTAGATTTATTAGCTCCTCAATTCAAAGCTTCATCATCTTACTTCTATTTTCAGCAGAACACCATATCTTTCATCACCAATCATCTTTTGTTTCTTTGTTTTTGGTCGAAAGTAGATGTTATTTCATAGAAGGCAGCAAGCCAATGAAGAGATGCATCTGATGATAAGCAGATACCAAAATGGAAACGCAAGATAAACAATTGGAAAGAAAATGGGGCTACAACTCCAACCAGTGAAAAGAAGAGAGGGCCAAATTGATTTAGAGAGAAACATAATCAAAGAAATGACCCCAATAAGCCAGCGTAAGTCTTCAAACCAAAATACAGTTACAGTTCTTGAGGTGGACATGGAAGGCCATCATTGTTAAGCACTAGTAATCTTGAACGACGGAATTTGATGAGAAAATCTATATAGCTTATTAGGTGGTACTTGAAACAAGATAACCCCATGATTCTCACTTCGCTGAAACAGACTGACAAATCCTTTGACTGGCACCAAACAACACGAAAGTTCCTTTGTGTTCGATTATGGTTGAATATGGCGAGTAGGGTGTACTTATTAAAATTATATTTATTTCATAATTCAATATATCCTTTTTGGTCATTTTATATTAGGGTAAATTAGTAATTCAATAAATAGTTTGGTAGTAGGGTGTACTCAGTTAATTTTAGGGTTCGTTTAGCAATGCAATTACATGGAGTTGAGATAATGGGGAAAACTAATGACACATAACCATTCAATAATACTAGATGCACCAGCCCCGCCCACCCTCCCCAACTCCCGCAGCCCCAGCCCCGCCCACCCTCTAGCTTCTCTAAAATGCTTTGCCCTCACACTCACAAAAATCTCAGATAATCTCATCGCCTTTACCATGGCTGAACCGAGCACAACAAGAACCTTTCTGTTGACAATTGTATTCTCCAAGGACTCAATCCGGTAATGTTCGGATTTCTCTACGCGTGCCAAAAGACTTGGATCGTCAGCTCCTTCCCAGCCTTCACTCATGGATCGGCCGTGGCTCACCAGAGCCAGCTCCTCTAAACCCACATCCTTAACACACCACGACCGCTTGCTATATAAACTAAATTATAACAACCCCATTCCAAACAACATTCATTTCACTTGTTTATATAATTTTCTTATTTCACTTTGTTAAGCAATCTCTCTTTGTTGCAACCCAATCTAACCTGACAATTGTAATCTTATTGCAATTCATTTTTCATCTCGAAAATGAAAAAAAAATTGCATATTTCAAAGCATAACTTATACAAACTTAGGATTTTGAAATATCTCCATAATAAGATTTCTCGACTGACAATCATGTGCTATTTTACTAGACTGCAAGTAACATCATACTCGTGTCATTCTCGTATCAAGAAACATTATATTGAACTGATTCATAACCTAACAAAAATATTATTCAGTATCTCCGAACGTCAAATTCAAATTCCAACTTCCAGAACGATCATATAGCATCAAGATACATTATCTATCCTCCAAAAGATTCAAAAATAACTATGGTTCTATGCGTCTATAAGACTGCCTTTTACAATTTCTCTTCATTGTAAACCAGTTTTTTGGGTTTTAAAAAAAAACTGTTTTCAGTACTTGAAACCGGAAACTGTTTTTCTTTGAATGAAATATTTGCCCACCACCAACTGTTAATGAACTAAGAGCAAAATAATAAAAAATATAAAAAAAACCTTCAATTTCCTTGATTAACTCCACTAGGGAAGATTAGAATCTCCCACCAAATAGGTTAAAATCTGAACTACAACTCGTTTTTTTTTCCTTCACCTGGTGTAAAGGGTCCACAATTAGCTGCACAAATGCGCTTGCCATCAATAATCTATGGCACCATCCCTAAAGATCTTGCAGTTCACTGACTCCTGTAACAATCAGCGTGCACAAAAGGGCATAACAAATTGCCCAAATGAGATCACGTCAATATCTCCCGACAAATATTATCAATGGAGAACTGCTAAAATCAGTATGGATAAAGTTGACATAATGTTATATTTTTCGCACTAAACAAGTATGACTTCAAACTTTGCACATGGGTTGCTTTCAACATGTCTTCTAAAATCAGCATCCCCATTAAATCTGAAGGTATATAAGGCTTGCCTCTGTGTCATGCCAACAGGATATATTCTATATATTTTAAAATCATCTCCTCCTCTTATGCTTTTAGGTCTTTCCTCTTTCCAAATCGGCACATGTTTCTGAGACTTGAATTTTGTGAGCACCAGAGACTCAAAAGCTCCAAGAGTCAGATTGCCAGACCTGCCCAGAACAATTACAAATAAGATTTTTCTCCAATTTTGGGAACAGAAAATAAAAATTAGGGGACTTCTCGAAACTGTGCGGTGACAAAAGTACTTATTTTATCTTTAACCATGCTGTCTAAAGTACATGCAATAACGCAACAGAAAGCTAAAATAAAAGGCAGTTAATGATGCGCCTCCCCTGCTCCAACTTTAGAGAAATGACACAACTAGTTTTCACTCTCTTTCCCTCATGTTCTGGATATATCAAAACAAGCTGGCCGGTAATCTTTCAGCATGAGTTAAGAATGGTGAGGTTACCCCAGTATTGCAGTAAGAGGTGGGGTGGTAACTGATACTAGGGAAATGAAGTTACCTTAAGAAAATAGATTCCATCTCGAACCTCCCTCTTTCTCTTACATATAAGTGATAGACAACTGCTGAGCCTCTGGTGCACTTGCAAGGTCGACTTTTGGACCCTAGGCTCATTTCTTCTTTCTCGTGAATCATCGTTGCCAGGTGAATGCAAAGACGGCATGATGAATGTACTGCTGCCATGTCCACAAGGGCCTTGAAGGAATCGGATGGACCCTCATATTTCCACCTAACCATTAAAAATCTCATATAAACTTCATAAAGAAACAAAATTGAGAATATTTTTTTTATTTAAAAAAACATGTAACTGAAAAGAAGAAAAAGAGAAAGAAAACAACTAATGATCATAATAATGACCATTATTCTGTTCTTTACACGTAAAACCAAAGGATTTGGAAGATAACCTTTTCAACTAGATAAGAAAAAGAATTTGACCTTAATGACTGATTATATGCTTCAGGATTATCTGCAAGGTATTTCATTCTCTTGGCAACTGGTTCAACATCGTTTATCTCCTTAATATGTAAAACTGCACCAGGAGCAGGAGCAAAATCTTCAATATTCGGAGCTCCAACCACCACAGGTATAGACCCTGAAAGAAAGATGTCAGCATGCAATCTCAGGATTATTCCCGAACTTGTGTATGCCGATGAGAATTTTTCTTTTGGCAGCTGAAATGCAATATTCCTCCTTATGCATGAAAATATTCCTTATACTGAATGTGAGAATGGAACCCACGAAATCTTACAGACGTTAGAGGCAACACATTGCAAAATCAAAGATGAAGGCACACACTAATAGTCTTCCATCTATATTGAACTCTCTCAAATTTGTTTATAGAATATTACCAAGATTTACACAAAATCAAGCAACGGTTCTCTGAATTTTTTCCTCCATAAAAAGTTTCCCATATTACAGGTTGAAACTACAAAATCAACAAGAGAGAGAGAGAGAGAGTAGTTTCATACCAGCAACAAGAGATTGGAAGTATTTCTCAGTAACATAATCCTCCTCGTTGGAATTCTCAAAGGCCAAACTAAATTTATAGCGCTTCAGAGTTTCAACTTTGTCCACTGCTAGATTTATTTATAAAAATAAGAAAAAACAAATTATTTACCATGCGTAAATGTTAACAAGAAGAAGATATAATACCAACAGATCATATATATCTTATCACGTTAAAGAGACCCAAAACATAGTATATCAGTTTATCCCCCAAAAGATCCTACTCTGCAAATGTTGTACACATGCATGCAAGTATATTCTAATCCTTCAAGTAAGACCATTCCCCGTTCGCTGTTGCCACACACCCAACAAAATCAAAGATTGATTCAATAGATTTTTCACAGCATCTTCATAGAGCCAACCACATGTATATACCGTAAAGAACAAAATCTATAACTCTGCGTACCCAAAAAGGTTGTAACCATTTTTTAGTGAAGATATAAGTGACATCTCCACAAAAGATTGTGATATTTATCTTCTTTTCTCTTTTACTGCATTTCATTCAATATGCCAACAATTTAGCCAATATATGGAAATCAAGTCCAACGTGATTGCAAAATTAGAACTACTGAACATAATCACAAAAAATAACAATACTATCCAAGCACATGCATCGGGTTTAAGGGACACCAGTATCAATATGGGTCTGACTTATCACATTATAGCAACATTAACTGATCGGTAAGGTGCCTACCCATTAGACCAAGAAATTTTTCTTAGAAAGTCCAACTTAAAATATATATCTCCTTATGGTGAGGGAAAATAATTTATAAGCAAATAAATAGCCATGGAGAAAGGAAAAAAATATTATCGGGGTGGCTGTTAATCTATTTCAGACCAAACAACCAAGCATTGGATAAGATTAGACCTCCCCTCAAAACACAATAAATTGTATTATCTACAAGCCAGTATGAAGCCAACGCAGAATATTTTCAACCATAAACAAAACAAGGCCACAACAATAACCACAGTTAGTCGCAAACTTCGTATGACGTGCCAAGCAAGCATGACAACTTATGAAAGCATGCAAGCAAAGGAAGTTAGAATCCAGATTCTAATGATTTAACATGGAAGGAAACGAGCAAAAACACAATATTATTACTTTACAAATCATCAGTGAAATGTCCACACCTTTTCCATCACGGTTTCTGTGGCAACCACCATAAGAATCTATCTTAATCTTAGCACTTTCAAGTGCTTCAAGGGCTTGCAAGCGGAAGTTGCGGGCACCACAGTTGGAAATAAATGCAGCTGCAAGGGCAGTCTCAGTCTTTGGCTGGACAGGTGCCATGATGTTGTACTCAGCCCAAGAAAAATATCCAACTGGAACATCCGAGGAGAGACTGGTTGTCATAATAATATTATATCCCCTCCTAGTACACAGAAAAAAAAAGAAGTTTAAACTATTACTTATACAAACAAGTTTTACATAAAATAGCGTTCTCATTCTGAGAGTTCCAGGCCCCGCCCAACTAAACAGCAGGAATATGATTTAGAAATGACTACGTAACTCCAATTGGCTACATACAATTATCCCACCAGCACACTTCAGCTTATAGTTAATAGACATAACACCATCATGTAGGTTATGCTCATGGCCTAAAACAGCTGCACGGCCAAAAACACCAAAGAATGAGAAGTATGTTAAAAGTATTCCCTGCTACTTCCTTCTTCTTTTTTTGAGGAATCCTTTTCCTTATCGTAAATGCTTGTTTAATCAGGAAAAGAAGATGCAGAATTAAATTCATGTTTAAAAAAATATTTAAAAACTAATGAAAGTAATTTGGAGAAAGCATGGAAATCATGAACACCTTGTTTCTTTCAGGATGATTGGACAATTAGACTATTGACATATGAGACATTTCCACCAATGTTTAATGTTATATAGACAAAACAATATATTTCAGCATTTCAAATTTGAGGGTACATTTTGCCAGAAAACAAGCCTAAAAAAATCTTGAAAGCATTGAAGGAAGATTTGCTTAAAACGTTGTACAAGATTTACAATTCATATGAGAATGGGATTACATGTTAGAACAGAAAAGATAAATTCTTCTAAAAATGCAATAAGGCCATATTTATTTGTGCTTACCCACCGTCGTGCATAAGCAAGATTGTTCTCTGCATAGTATTGAGCTGATTCCATGGATCGGAGAACACTGGCTGTCCCAGTTTGGTGAGCTAAGCCAAAAGCAGCATCAGGTTTTTTGCTGGGATTGAATCCAAACTGGCATCCCACAGAACAAGATTTCCATTCCTGTACAGAAGTGAACCAAAAGCAATTGGGTCGGTTATATCCCAAAACTCCATGTTGAAGTCCCAAGAACGAAGACTCAATTCATTATACCGAAATATTAAAAATGACAGAGAGGCCCATTTCAATACAAATAGTAAGTCTTCTTTTAAGGATTATTTCCGGGACCCAAAGGAGAATTAGAACTATCAATGTCACGTACAAATACCTCATTTTTATGATACTGTCACAATTTGTCAACTGCTGTAAGTTGCGTCAACTTTTCTCTCTCTCAAGCACCGCCAACTCCAAACCTTTCTTGTTCATTTTACCCAACAAGATTTTTTATAAGATAAAACCCAACCCCAAAAAAAAAAAAAAAAAAAAAAAAAAAAAAACCTAAAAAAAAAAAAAAACTAAAAGGCCTAGGTCCTCCTAGGCTAGACGACATTCAACCATGATAAGAACTAGGCAAGACTAACATAATGCAGTAAAAAACAAATATCGAACTTTACATCCTGATTTCAGTGTCAAGGATCGATAGCTCAAGTTATAAGAACTAGGCAAGACTAACATAATGCAGTCCAGAAGCAAATATCAAACTTCATATCCTGCTTAGAGTGACAAGGATCAATAACTTAAGCCGTGTAAGGTCTTGCAGTAATTCAAACTCGTACTGTTTTGCTCACTCATGTCATGAAAATTGTAAAGTTGTATAATTGACATTACAGAAGAAGATGTCATCATTCTCAAAATCACACCACGGCCCCACTTTCAACAACTAAACCCCAATTAAGGATAGCACTTAATCAACCAGAAAAACCATATTAAAAAGAAAAGACAACTACTCATCCATTGTTACACAGAAATTATAACACAATTACACACCATATCAAAAAAATATAACGACTAATAAAAACTGCACATACCTTCTCATCACCAGAAACCAAAATGGGTTCTTTCTCAAAATCCCTGGAATACTCTACAGCATCCTCTCTCTCCAACCACTCCTCGCAACTCAGCAAACCCAAATCATCACTCTCCACCGCCAGTTCATGAATCAACGGAGCCGGGGAGAACAAGTCGGCCCAGGAATCGACTAAAGCTGTGTTCTTTGCGATGTCAAGCTTACCCAAGAAGGCGATCTCTGCTATGACCACAAGGGCCACAAAGAAAGGCATCAGATTGGACCATTTTCTCTTGGGCGCCGTTGAAATCCCACCAGAGACCGGTAAGCCTTCTTGGGTCGTCGCTGTTCTCGAGCCTCTTTGAGTCGAAAACACGCCCATCAAACAAAATCAATCACTCTGTTTTCAGGGTCGTCCTGTCTTTCCCGAGAAAGAGAAAGAAAGGTCGAGAAAATGAAGGAAGCAACTTGTAATGGGGGCTGTGTGTGGTGTTCAGCAAAGGAACATAACGGGGTTTGGTGCGGTCTTCGATGGAAAAGAAGAACTGGGTTTAATCAAATGATTTTCATTGGTGAGGGGAGAGAGGGGAGAGGTTGATTTTTCTTTAGTTGCAAGTCAACTACAAGATTGAAGAGTGGGATGAGATATGAAGAATATTCAATTTGTTTTTGTTTTGGAAGAGAAGCAATGAAAACATTTGTTTTGTTGTTTGTTCGACAAAAGATGGAAACACTGTAAGGACACCGGCCCAACAATTCAAACTAGCCATGTCCCCGATTTGGTTTTATTTTTACTTCTCATACCCATTTTGTTGGAAAGTAAACATGCCATAAAAGAAATGTAATTCTAGATCGCATCAAATTAAATATCGCATCAAATTAAATCATAATTTGTTTGGTTTAAACCGAATCAAACTGCTTCTATTAATTCTTTTTATTGGTATTTTTTATTGAATATCATCATTTAATATTACGTTTCATCTTGTTAATTTCAGTTAGTTGATATAAAAAACTAAATGTAGATTGCAAATGATCCACTAGTGTAGTGATTTGGAGTAATTACTCCCTCAATCAAGGTCCTGGATTTGCTCCCTCAATCAAGGTCCTGGATTTGAATTCTAGCATCTGTATAATATATGTAAATTTAGCATACAATCACCCCTCTCACTAGAAAAAGCCTCAAAAGAATAAAAACAAAAAAACAAAAAGAACTATATAGAGATTTACACATGCATTTAGGTTTGTATGCAATTACCACTTGAACAAAATTATGTTAACTGATGATGTAAATAATGTGGGTCATGCAATTTTGTGGACGCGGAAGCCATGTAAGCAAAGTGTGGACAAAACATAATTTTTTGTTTAAAAAAATATTTAGTAGTAACAAAGGACTTGTAGCTGAAGGAGTTTAGAGCATCTACCGCGTACACACATGCAGAACTCGAACAATAATTGCATTTGACTTGGACTTTATTGTCTTACTTTATTTTACCATCTCTAGCTTAAGCATATCTCGAGTATCTACATACTTCTCTGGATGGGATTATTAAAGTGCTCCTAGGATTAAGAACAGATGTGTCCGGATTATAGTTGCTCTTTCCTTAACATTTGTTTTTAATCAATGATCCAAATAGAAAATACTTGACTTGCAAACTATCTTTTCCTATAGCCGTACTTCTCTTCTCAATGTTAAAAGAGGTCTAACTCCGATCCCCCTTCCCCATATATTAAAAAACCGAATCTTAGTTACTTAACTAATCCACAAATTACAATAACTGGATTAGGCTTCTACACGATAAAGTGGTAGAACAGGGTTAGGTACCCATCATATTTAAGAAACTCATGGAAACGTGCTGGAAAGATTAGGAAAACTTGTCATAAAATTTATATAAAAAAGATATTTATAAATTTAAAAAATAAAAATTAGGGAGAGGAGGAGGAGGAGGAGGGAAGGGGGTTGTCGGGGCCGGCGGCGGCAAGTCGCTGACACAAATTGGAAATTCTGTAATTACAGCAAGTGTGTTATATACTCAAACTCAATCAGATCAGACAAACTAAGATAATATAAAATTCTAAAATCTCACTGAGGCGACAGATCATGGGTCTAATGGAAATTTATTAGAATTTAATAACATAATAAATTTGTAATTTCATAACAATGGAATTCCATGATTGTGGAAGAGGACATGATTGACACATTTTTTTCTTTTAACAGGGCATGATTGACACCTCTCAGGTCACCCCCATGAAATCCAGACATCTGCCATACAGCCCAAAATTGTACTACGGATCTTCTATATCTATTAGAAGTTGTTCTACTTGAAATGCAGTAAATACAAAAATAAAAACAGAGAAAAGGAACAGCAAATGACCAGATAGACCCATGTAATCGATGTGTACTCATCAACTAAATCTACTCCATAAATCCTATATCTACCAATCCTAAAAGATGAAGAGCATATCGCTGAACAGATATAATTTCTTCCCTGTGGACTTTTGCCCAAAGTCCAATGGTAGCGTTACCCCGAACACCATGCACAACAAGAATAGCTACTGATAGAATCAACCTTTGCATTCGGCATCTTCAAATAGGAGAAAATGGAAAGTATAATCATATCTCCATCCTTTCAATGTATCGATACTGCTTACCTGTCAGACTTCAGTACTAAGTTGTATCTCAGCTTCCTCCTAAGAAATAGCGAAGATTATGCCCTTGTTCAGAGAGAACATTATGGGCCATTGAAACCTCTTTCGTATCAAAATTTTCTGATGGCACAATCTGAAAAGGCACATGAGGAAATTAATAAAAAATGAGAACCCTAACAATTAAGACTGAACAATAATCACAGGATCTTATGTGGGATAAGTAAAGCAAGATCAATATGCAGAATTTATTCCAAATATTGTTTTTTTTTTCCCTTTTTGTGTTAATTGTAGACATTACTTGATCGTTGCTGGAAGCATCAGCTGCAATTCTTTTAAGCCTTTTTGGTTTGGATGCATTGCTTAGCTTCCCTCCATGGTCTTCATCCACAAAGTTCTGACCAGATACTTCTGTGAGGAGACAATGATCAAAACCCAAAAAAGAAAAATGAAGCGCATGAATTATTAAAGCATATGATTGAATTCTCAATACGCAGTGGCCAGTTCACACACATTAAACAATGATGCTATGTAATGTCAACAGAGCTCACAATCACCATCTAGCGAAAGGGTGGGTAAAGTTCAGAAAATATATTTTACATGTTCGTATTTGTGATGCGTGGACATGTGCTTCAGCAAAAGTGAAAGTAGCTACTAATTTACTCAAGAAAAAAACAAAATTTCAGAAAAATTTGTATATTTATAATGCAAGTATGTGTAGGCATAAACGTATATGTGAGCGCAACATGACCAGAAGACATATACCATGAGGCTTATTAATCTGGGGAACGTGGAAAGATCAATTAGTTTTAGTCAAACTACTACCAGTGCACAAATATAGCAATTAATTTTAGTATCCTGGAGAACAAAACACATTTATTTGCACGATTCTGTATACGTGCATTCACATTGTGTAGCCGTGCATATGGGGGGGTGTGACAGGGAAGGAAATTTGGAAGGGAAAAAATCTGAAAGAGCATATCAATTATTAGGAGATGAAAGGAAAGAATTTTCCTAAATAAGCAAAGTGAGTCAGAGTACCTGTAATATTGCCAACCCAATCCTGATGACATACTAGGTTCTGCTCTGAACTTCTTGCTGATGCATGTAAGTTTTTTAAAGTCAGCGTCTTAGGAGATGAAACAGTGCAGCTTTTGCCTGCAAGAGTAGAATGACATCTGCATGGACTTCTCATAGTAACATGAGAATTAGCTGTGCTTTCCATCAAACTTTCATTCCTTCGAAGGTTGATCTTCTGCAAGCAGCCATCTTGAACAACCTTGAATTGCGAATAACCCAAGAAAATAATGAACGAGATGACCAAAATGGGCCATTACCAACATGCTCACACACAACCAAAAGAGATATAGCAGATTTGACTCTGACCTGGTCAGAAGAATTCTGAGTCTTGAATGAGACCTCTTGCAATGAACGTGTCCCTCGAGCATTCTTTTGTTGATGCCAATCACGCAAACGCATGGAATGGTACAATTCATTAACAAATGATGTTTCCAAAGAATCAAGATACAAATTGTGCTTTTCATTTGTCCACTCTGTGGATGCACCCTGCAATGGAACATCATCGGTGTCAAAGTCTAAACATATATAAAAAAGACAGGTCTCTTAGAAGGTATAAGAATAAAACCTGCATTCAGGAATTATATATTCCAGATTATTGAGAGAAAGAATATTAGACATAATGGTCTCAGTAAAAAGCTACAGATTTATTTTTGTTACACTTCAACATGAAACCAAATTCCTCAAGTCCAGGTGACCAGGGACCTCTACAAAACCCTAATACGAAAGGAATTTGACCGCCAATGCTTTATAAATCAAGGATATAGTCTACTTCCTAAACATAAAACACTCAAAGATCTCAGCCCTTAATTTGATGAGATTAAAATCCATGACACAATCAACTCAACCAAGTTGTGGATATAGATTATAATGAGCACGTCATCTCTCACACTAGAAATAAATTGATCATTGACTGTTCGTCTACTACAAAACCTTCTGCCATATACCCCTTAATTCAAATTGTTTTATCCTCTTTGGAAAAATATATTAACTTACATGTAACAAAAATTAATTACTGCACTGACCTTCACCATATTCTGAGAGGTCATCTTCTTGCAATGGTCAACATCATTCTTCCGTTGAGAATGTCTAATATATATCACAATTTACTTTTCAAATGTTTTACATTGATCTCTACAGGATTTAGACACCAGTATAAAATGTATTATGCTATCTGGTGCACAGATATCTACTAGTTAATTGGGAATCTTGTTGAGATAAAGTGGACTTCATTCTTCAGGATGATTCGATCATCTCAGAAGGATCATCTGTTCTACAGGATTATCTAAGCAGCCTTTCAGAAATGATAATTAAATGTCTCTGTTTCTTGATAAAGCAATAACAAGAAAAGAGCATGTTCCCAATATTTATTGGCGTTCTCTAAACTATTCTCGAAAAATATTATTTGAGAACATAACCAAAGAAACAGGCACTAAAGATCTAATTGAATGGATTGAAAAATAAAATTCTCAACCTTTTGTTTCTTGTTCTCTAGACTGTTCTTCAAATACGTCACCTTTCCCTAAAGATCTAAGTGAATTGATAAGGAGGTAAAGTTCTCAAACCTTTTGTTTTTTACAATTCATGTACCACCCAAAAAATCAAAGTTAGCCACCTCCTTATCCATTTAACCGTATTTCCCGAAACTGCGCAGAGGGAGGGATCGTGATGTTCTCTTAGGCATTATGCTGCACTAGAAGCCGCTGCCTGGTCCCAGATTCTTGATTTCAGCTGGTCACCTTTTGCATGAATCACAATTCTTTCCAACTAGTCACATTCTGCGTTAATCTAAAGGAAAATTTTATTTTGAATACTATAAGAAGTTGTCTCCAACACCTCTGACCACCATGAAAAGAAGCACCTGTAACACATGCCATTTCATTTCTAGAAAAAAGATAGGTTGAGTCCTATTATATACATGACAGTGGCTTATTATAACAAAGATTTCATAATAAGTTTTGTAAAACAAAAACTCCACTGCGTCAAACCAAAAGCAAAAGTTGAAAAAGGAAAAATGACCGGAAATAACATCCATATAAATTACCTATCAAGGAAAACAGAAAGCACAAAAATTCTTCCATATCTCCAACTCCAACAAATTTAATTCTTTTTTGTTCTGGTCCTAAATAGGCAGCTAACTGTCACAGTTAAAGGAAGCATTCAAAATGTGACATCCAATCTTGATTCAATTCTCAACTCAAATTTCCTTGCATAAAATAGAAGCCTTAACGAAAGAGTTCACAAATTATCTTCATCACTATGAATCTACTGCAGCTCAAAATAACTTGACACCAGCACCATAGATGTCAAAGACATCAAAACGGAGAATTTAAAACAAGAGGTATCACCAAAATTTCAGGAATTTTTTTTTTAATTTTAAAAAGAGACCCTAAATTTCTCAAATTTAATCACACAATATTGTTAGAGATCTCATTCTTCTGTATATTTCATCTAAAACGCTCATTTGCAGTAAATAGACCAAAGATAAATACTTGAAAAAATAAAAATTTATTCTAAAAAATGACATGCAAAACAGAAAATGACGGTCCTAAATCAGAAAACAGCTCGCAAATCTCACAATCTGAATATCTACCTGAAAAAATTCATTAAAAAAAAAACTCAACCAATCAAACTTCAATAAATACACTATATCTCACAAAATAGCAAAAGCAGCAACTATAACAAATAATCATCCATAAATATTAACGCAAAAAAAATATAGGTAGTCAATCAGAAGAAATAATAGCAAGAAAGAGGAAGGAAACTGAAGAAAATGGAATCTACCAGTGTTGCATGCGAGGAACAAAGCGGGAGCTCCTCGGAAGCGTCAAGAGTAGTGAAGGAGAACGAAGACGAGGAGGAGGAGTTGGAGATGGTCCGAGTCAACTCGGGCCGGCGCTCGGGATCCGAATTCGGAAGCGGAATATTCTCCCGGATATTCTCTCCCATCACTGCTCTTCACCTCTCTGATCGGACGGAATGCGAAACGGCCTCGTTTCTGAAAGCTCTCGGAAGAGAAAAGAGAGAGCAAAAGAAAAAATGTGCTCCTAAAATTTAGCAGAAAAAAAAACCCTCTCGCTCTCACTCCGGGGAGGTCGTGAACAATACGAGTAGAGAGAGAGAGAAAAGGGCTTTTTGTTGTTGTTGGGGCCAATAAAGGCTCCAGATGGCGTGCTCTTTACACGTGTTCTCTGTATCAGCAGGTGCCACGTCAGCCGGGAGATAATATCTTCAGCCAGATATTTGTTTTTTTTTGGTCAGAACAGCAACAGATATTTTTCTTTGCTGAAGAGCGAGTCCTCGTGTTCGGAACTTTGGGCATATTCGGTTGCAAGGGACTGTAGCTCACGCGGGGTAATTGAGAGATTATGTGCGGATTTTTTTCACGGTCGCATAATCGCATTCGCGGCGGAATAAGGTTAAAAATGCATTGGCGGAGCATAATTACGTGACATTGACGGGATAAAATGATAAGTATTGTTCAATTAAAATATAACATACGTCGTAAAATTTGAATTATGAATAAACACTTGTGATGTAAATAGTATGTGTCCATACCTTTTTGTATAAGTATTTTATTTTTTTAGGGAATATTATCAATAAAAATCTACTTATATTATAAATGTAAACAAATTATACCACATAGTTGTACTATCGTACTATACTATAACTGCTTCCAAATTTGGATAGAAACTTTCATGTCATATGACTGGTATTATTTAGTTATGTTACATAACATGTTAAAAGTTAAGGTTAATAATATCATAGCCTTTGGAGTTCCATCTATTTGACATGTAAAATTGGGTTTGATTTGTCTCATATATTGAGTGATTAAGGCTTGATTAGGGCTCAACTCACTTACTAAGGCTGCGATTTGATTCACTTCTTCAAGACCCTTGTGACATCTCAACTTCCCACAATGACAATTTTTGTCTTCTTCCAAATGGTAAGGAGCCTTTTCCTTGCTAATTTTTTGCAACCAATTGAGATGACATCGTATAAAAAAGGAAATTATGGTTTCATTTGGAGAAATGTTTGTGTATCTGGAGGGAACCAATTGTCAAACAGGGACAGAGAATGACTAAAATGTCACTTGTCACGAAGTGTGAGAACTATAAAATTCAATAATTGTATTCATGGATCAAAACGCAAACTTGGAAAAAAGTTGAATTCATTAACTCATGTAACATGTTTTTTGTTGACAATGTGACATCCTACATTACTATAAACTATGAAGAGAAGATTCAAACTTAATTGCAAGGGAAGATTCAAACTTAATTGTAAAGGAGCGAACACAATGCTTTGGTGAATTAACACGACGGATACATGTTAACTGTGAAGTAGAAAGGAAATCCCAAAATATATCCAATCCCCGTAGGACATATATGAGTGCTTTCTAAAAGTTTCCTTCATGTGAATTGTAAAGGAGCGAACACATGTGTTTTGATTTTTTTTTTTTGCAATGTCGTAGGAGACAATGATAAAGTCGCCAAACTTCCAAAGGCATATGGCTAGATTCAAATCTTATAACTATAGTCTATAGTAGCAACATACCCGACTTTTCCAAATTCAACAACTGGAGTGATTGATATAGAAAATAAAATAAATTCAAATTTATAATTTACAATTGAGAAAATATTTTTGAGATTTAGATAGAAGAAGATGATTGCCGAACCGCGCAAGCGACCAATTGGGCCCATTGCCTCAACCTCATCTTCACCATCTCCGCATCACCAACTTCTGAAACAAAATATCAAAAAAAATCAACAATTATCATCCGTCGGATCAAAAAAGTCCACGGTGAAATCAATCAATCCGACGGTGCATATCAACCAACCTGTTAACACGCTCTTACTGCACTGCGTAGTTACAGCGTGGTAAAACTCCAAGGCGGGTAAAGTATCGGACAGTTTCGGGTCGATAACGGGCGAATCGAACCCAAACCCGAGCTCAATGCACGCTTTGAGCTCCTCCAAATCGTCTTCCGAGACGCTTTTGCTGCGATTGAGGCGGCGGGCGCTGCAGCTGCTTTTCCTGCGCTGCCACGTCTCGTCGCGGAGCGTATCAGGCGACCACGAGTTCTGCTTGTACAGAGGTCGAGGCGGTGGCGCGTGGGTATTCTCCATGGGCTCGCCGCTGGAATGTCTTATGCGTCGCCGTTTCGGTGGCTGCCGGGGCTGACGAGGGTTTGGGATTTTGTGGAGGTTAAATTGTAATATTATCCATGGGAGTTTGCCGGTTTGGCGGCGGCGGGAAGGGTTTATATAGATAGGGTTTGATTGGTTCCCACTTCAGAGTCGAATTAAGAATGAGGTAGTGGTGGGCCATGGTTGTGGGGTCTACATAGATGACAGTAAGGTCGTAGTGGGTCACGGTTGGTGGGCCTTAATTTTTAACTTTTAATCTAATTATATTTTTAGTTTCAAAGTTTGAATTTCCAATCCTCTTTTAATTTAAAAAAATACATATATTTTTCAAAGTACATCATCTATATATCTATATCTATATATATATATAAAGCAAAAAAAGAGAATGGTAAAACATTCAAAATACCAAAAAATGTCCTTAGTTAATGCAAACATTAAGAATTGAAATTATTAATTAAATGAGGATAATATGGAAATTCACACTTTTTCATATTTAAAAAAATTGAAATTAAAAACAAAATAAGATAATATGTCATACTTTTATAGAACATAACTACCTATATTATCTTTTCTTAATTCTAAAAATAAAATAAAATGTGCCAAGGGGCTAGTAATTAATTTAATGTTGTTATAAGCTTATAACATTTTTGGACAAAGCATGAATATGACTGACTTCCTCTTCTTTCCAACCTTCCAGCTACTAATTTAGTTCAATCCACACGTGTGGTATTTACCCTTCCAACTTCCCCTTTTCCTCAAGTTTTTAATATAAGCGATAGTCTAAATTACACGGGGAGGAGGTTTCTCATACCATCAATGTCATAGAGATTTGAACATGAGACCACTAGTTAAGAAACTCCCAAAGCATGCGTTTAAAACTAAACATTGAAAAATACCCAGAAAATATATATTTGTTTTCAAAAGAAAGAACCCACATATGACGATACGCCTAGGCTACCTGTTAGCCCTCCCAAGAATTTTTATTTATTTTCTTTCTAGTCCATGGTGTCAAAGTGAAGCAAGGTGACTGGACCCAAGCTGGCAAATGGAACGAGTCATAACTGATGTGGGATCAACAAATCAACAGGTTGTATTCTTTCTTGCCAAAATGCTGGCTTCATATCCAAGCATCAATTAGGCAGTTGGTGCCTCTTGTACATTTGACCATGGCTTTTCTAGTTCAACTGGGACCAAGTTGGCAAAATCATCAGCAATTTGTTTGGATGAGGCACTTTGAAGTGACGGGACTTTAAAGTGATTAGATTTTACAAGTGAGGGAACTCAAAATTTTGGGATTTGATTGGGTAATTTCTTATAAATATCAAATTTGTTTGTTCCTTTTTTAGACTATTCAGTTTATTATATATCTATCCCCTTTTTTTCTTCAATCTGTTTTTCTCTCTCTTCTTTTGTTGAGATATTTTTTTCACTATTTTTTTTTCATTGTTTTTTTTTTGGTACTTCTCTCGTTTTTTTTTAATCTCGAACCTAAGCAGGAACCTCCTGTAAAGTAATAACAATTTAGCTTTACGTCATCAATGAGGCACAGAGCAGGTGAAACAATAATACATTAATCTTCACCAATGAAACAATAGTTATAAAAATAAAAATAAAAATAATCAGGATCCTGACTTCTTAATCATTTTGATCAGAAAATGTCCATCCAAGCGAGCACTCAGCTGCAATCTTGCACCTAGACTGAGAAAGCAAATCATGTACAAAAATTAACTAATATGAATCATGTTCAAAAATTCAACTGAAATCATAAGCTCTAAAATTTTACAAAAACCCAGCCAATTCATTCTTTTTTCTGGTTTTGTTAGATAGGTCTCAAACAACAGAAACTGCGTCACCATTTCAAGCAAGTAAGCAGCACATAAATGTATCAAATAGTTGAAATTGAACTTAAAAAGACCAGAACCAAAAATCCCCCTTTGAATAAAAGGAAATACATTGCTTGAGAAACAGAACGAAAGCAACAGAGGAAAACTCCTCCTGGGAAGAATAAACAGTTGCATGATAATCAAACAACTCTTGGCTCACAAAAGAACACAAGAAGGTAATTTAATATGCATTCCCTTCATAGAAAATTATGATTTGGATTATAACTTGCATCACCTAAACCAAAGTCCAACTACTTATGAGTTACATAGCCCTCCTGGTGGTTTTCCAGAACCACATGCTCAATTGAATCACAAACTGTCAATATAAAAACAAAAAAAATCCAAAACAATTATCTCAATCATTCAGAACCATCAAGCACGCCAACCACACAGATCTCCTAATCTTACATCATTCAGAACCATCACTCACGCTAACCAATCTTTACTTTAAAGGAAGAAAGAAAAAGAAGAAGAAAGTACAACTTTCACTGGTCAAAGGTTTCATAAAACGCAAAGCTAAAAGGCAAGGTGAAGGAAGGAGGCCATCAGAGCAACTCTTGTAGTTAACAGTGAGAGTTGCTCTCGTGGGCAACATTGTATTCAAAGAGACTATTGCTTCACAATTGTATTCAAAGACCCTATTGCTTTACCATTGTATTCAAATCAGCATTTTTTAATATCTAAAGAACATATTTATCTGCAAATTTGTATATTTAAAGAGCGTACTGCTCTGCCTTTGAAATTTGTTATGACACTTTTCAGAACAGGTCATGCACTCATCAACTCAACCTAACCAAACAAATAGAACCACATATAACCAGATTAGCAAAGAACATAAACATAGAAATTAACAGGACACTTTCTATGACTTAAGAGACTACATTATCCACCACTTCCTATTCTACCAAATGTCTATTGCTCCCAAATCAACAACAAAATTACCCCCTTTTTTTTTTTTTTTTTTTTTTTTTTTTTGGGTGTAAGTGTGCAAATATAACCATTTGCAATTTAAACGTAGCTGCAGCCCCTATTTCAACTCCACTTATGACATGCTTAATGTCTTTGGTTTGGTCTATACTCCGTAGTAGGTTGAAAATCAATTTTGGTCCCATAGTCACACCTTAAGAACATCGACACACTTTTCCTTTGTTTTTTTGGGGGGGCGGGGGGGCGCAGGCACTGTAAGTTTGTCCAATTTCAATATAGAATCTGATTTCGTTTTTTCTTTTTGGGATGTTTCTCCTTTTTTTTTCCTCTCATATTGGGAATTTCGCATCTTATGCCAATTACACATTGCTCCCTACAGCAAGTGGCAGTCATGGCAGCACTTATAATCAGAAAACTTTATATGATAAAGTTACCATCACCACCATCAAACGATGTTTGTATCCACTCCATTTGTTTAGATAGAAACCGTCCACTCATTTAGCAAAAGACAGTTATTGCTGTTATATCCTGAAGTAGAAATCATGGATAAAGAGATGAAGAACAAGAATTAATACTACCCCAACTCAATTATATATCAATTTTGTTATTTTTTGTAAATATTTTGTATCTGAACCTTGCACTTCTCCACTTGCAGTCAACACTACCCAACTCTTCAAATCTGAACACACACAAAAGGCAAAGTGGATAACCCTAACCCTTCATCTGAGAAACTCTAACCTAGTCAAAATTGAACCCCAAATCCATCACAAATTGAACCAAAATCAGAGAAAAGAAATTGGAATCAAACATCGAATCCAATAATCACAGAGAGAAAAGGAAAGGGATAAGAATTTGTACCATCGTTCGTGATTCATCGGCGTTGGTTGTGGTTTGTCTCATTTGTAGTCGTTCATCTCGTGAAGTTCTCTTCTTTGGGCTTCACAAATAGGTAATTGGGCCACATGGAAGCCCAAATCCCTTGTTCAAGTCCCTCATCCAAACAGACCCTAGAAGAATTAAAAAATGTACCTTCCATTCTTACATGATTGATATTTGGTTGTCACCAATAATCCCCACAAGAGCAAGCTCCATCCTTGAAATGATGAAAACGGTTAGAATCCCTTACAATGATCTCCCTCTCTGTAATTACTGATATGAACTTGGTTGCATTGTGGCAATCCCCGCATACCCGCAAGTTCTTGAAGATCCGGATGGGAGTTTTCGGAGGAGTGCTGATGAGTCCGAATGCAATTGCCAGTCTCTCACTGTGGCTATTGAGGATGTGCTCCTTCTCATCATCCTCAACATCCTGCAACACAAAGCTGAAGTCGGGAACGTAACCAAGGCTCTTCATTTTCGCAGTCAGATCGCTCAACTTCTGGTATATCTCCTGGCATTTCGGATGAGATTGGTTCGCGGTATAAAAGACATCAACGTTGTTGTTAACTTCTATTGAGCTCCACCCAGGAGTTTTTGACAGTCCGCGGTTTCTGGCCAGGGATCTCACTTTCTCCACACCTTCCCACTTCCCGGAATTTGCGTAAATATTTGACAACAAAACATAGTAGCCCACATTCTCTGAATCAACTTCAAACAAGCGTTCTGAGGCAATCCTACCCAAGTCAACATTTCCATGTATTCTACAAGCACCAAGTAGAGCACCCCACACAGAAGCATCAGGCCGTACAGGCATGTTATCTATAAAACTATATGCCTTGTTTAAATGCCCAGCTCTACCAAGCAAATCTACCATGCAGCCATAGTGCTTTAAACTAGGCTTGATTCTGTATTGCTCCTGCATCATATGAAAGTACAATTGACCTTCATCGACCAAACCTGAATGGCTACAAGCTGACAGTAAAGATACAAAGGTTACATGATCTGGCTTAACCCCCTCATCTAGCATATCTTTGAATAGCTTCAGGGCTTTCTCACCGTGCCCATGAACTCCATGACTAGAAATTACGGCATTCCAGGGGATTGCACTCTTCCTCGGAACTTGGGAGAATAACAACAATGCATCATCTAGTCTCCCGCATTTTGCATACATGTCAATCAAGCAGGTTCCCACAAATACATCCAAGTCAAGGCAATTCTTAATCACCCGTCCATGAATTTTCATCCCTTGTTGCAAGGCTCCTACGGAGGTATATGCTGGTAGAATGCTAA